ACTCACCCTGTAGGTCGTCAGTTGTTGTTGCAGTCCGTCAGTTGTTGTTGCAGTCCGAGTTCAGTTGGGGTGGTTGCGGGCTGGGTTGGGCGGCCCCCCGCCGGGTCGTTGCGATCGCGACAGGTCCCTTTGTGGCGCTGCTGGTGCCGGGCGGCTTTGGCGGGATGGAGCCTCTCCGCTCCGGTGGAGAGTGATGGGTGGGGTGGGATCCTCCTGGAGACTCCCGGCTGGTAGGTTTCTCTGTTCCTGGCGATCTGCTGTTCTGCAATCCGGTACCTGGTGATCTGCAAGCAGCCCCCTGTGTCTCTGTGGCTCCGGCAGCCCCTGCCGGGCCGGCTGGCCGGCGGCTTGGCGCACTGCCGCGCGGCCAGTAAAGGTTGGGGGAGGGGTCTTCGCTCTTCTCTGTTCTGAAATTCTTCTTTTCCTCTCTTTCTTTTTTTGTTATTTTCCACCTCTGGTTTTTCTCTGAGTGTTCGTCTTTTTGTTGTTGTCGGTCTCTTGGGGAGATTAAAGGTTGGAACTCGAAATCTCTTTTTGGTTGGAGAGAGCTGTGGCGTTTCCCTACTGCCCCGTCGCCATCTTGAGAACTCTCCCCTGCAGCCTCTTGAGTCACATTTCTTGCCACATTTCCATGCGGGGAAACTGTTCTCTACTCTAAGATAGGGGAGGAGGGTTGAACAAGAAACACAAAGATGCATCTGCCTGCCCCTTTTCAAACCAGCATCTTGCCCTAGTGGTCTGGGCACTCCCAGAACTCTAATGCTCCCTTGATTTCCCTCTTCTTCCTCAATCTGTTCCCTACTGGGCCACGAAGCTTCAGAGCAAGTTAAAGGTCCTGTGTCCTGTTCCTCCTCAGGCCCCAGGCTGGAATCTGATATGGAAACGCAGGAGAAACAGGTCTCCAGGTAGAAAATCAGCTCTCAGAACTGAAGGCAATACCTGTCCTGTTAGAATCTAAGCAGTTGGGAGACAGTAGCTCTGATCTGACACTAATTCTGAGTAAACATCTATTGCAATCCTTACCTTACAGATGGTGACCTGGACAGACATAGAGAAGGTCAGTGCTCAAGGTCACACAGTAGCAACTGAAAGAACCAAATTTGAGTCCAGGAGGTTTGGCTGTGGATTGTATCTCCCTATAGCCCTCAAAGCCTTGCCTCCTCTCACGCATTACGTATTACAAGCGAAGTACCTTCATTGTATAAAGGATTCTGTGTGTGTATGTGCCAGTTCTGGGGCTTGAATACAGTGGGCACTGTTCTTGAGCCTTTTCACTCAAGACTAGCAAAGTACCACTTGAGCAACAGCTCAGCTTCTGGCTCTTTGGGGATTAATTGAAGAGTCTCACGGACTTTCCTGTTCAGACTGGCTTCCAACCATAACCCATAGATCTCAGCCTCCTGAACTGTATAAAGGATTTTTGATACATTAAAAAAAGGTCCATTACCAGGTACTAGTGGCTCACGCCTGTCATCCTAGCTACTCAAGAGGCTGAGATCTGAGGATTGCAGTTCAAAGCCAGCCCAGGGAAGGAAAGTCCATGAGACTCTTATCTCCAATCAACTACTCCTCAAAAGAGTCGGAAGTGGTGCTGTGCTCACATTGAGTAAAAGAAGCTCAGAGACAGTGCCCAGGCCCAGAGTTCAAGCCCCAGTTCCCCTGTGGGGGGGCGGGGAAGAGGTCTGTCCATTGGAACTGGTGGAGTGGTTCCAGTGGGAGACAGAGAGGGAATCCAATAGTCTAAGATGCTTCCAAAAAGGCCTAAAAGAAAGGCGTTGTAAGAAAAATGGATTCTATATTCTTTTCTTTGTTATTTCTAGGGGTAACCTATGGTCACGCATACGGGGACAGCACCAGGCAGCAGAGGTCTAGCTCTCGCCGTCCCTCCCACACCCACATGCCCGGGCCACGCTCTTTTCTGCTCGTTGAAGAGAGCTTAATGGGAAGGAGTGGAAAGCAACCAGGAAAGCAGGGCACACTGCCTTCCTCCAGCAAGCAGGGTGGAGTGAGCACTTGCAAGTGGCAAAAATGTGGAGAAAGAGTTTGCATTTTTTTTTCCCTCCCTGGAGCCACCAAATTTGAGTCAAACGGTAACTCGAAGAAATTAGTGAGAGTGGCCTTTAAGCCGATTCTGGAAACATCTATTTTGTTTTTATGGAAATCCAACTTGCTCCTTCACGGGAGTTTGTCACATCATCATCTGTCTTGGTAAACACACCAAGATTGCGCATCTTTCGTCCAAGTAGTCATCCATCGGAAAAAACTTTTTCATTCTTTTATTATTACAGCACTGAACGGAATCAGAGAGAAGATTCTGTTCACTCTCTTCCTTCATTCTAAACCACGGGAAGGAGAATTGCTCTAACTTCCTTGTTGACATTCTTCCATCTACTAGTTTTCTTTATTGGGCTACATTAAATATGTCTCTTTCCATTGAATGGGATATTGTGAAACTATTTCTTTATTCAGATAGAATTGTCCACGCACGAGTACAGAAAGGAAAGGTTGGAAAGGCTGCGTCCTTGAGCCCATTTTGGACAAAGAACAAGCACACATGCATTAATTCATTTATTTAAAAAGTATTGAGAACCTATTATATACAAGCCAAAAGTTGGTATTAACAATGTCTATTCGAATATAATAAATGGTGATTCTAAACAGGACCAGTCCATCCACTCGTTTATGCTCTTGTGGCTGGTAAGTTAGGACAGAGGCGCTGTCGAAGGTTTTTAAAGCACCCACCTTCTTGGTGAACAATATGTACTTGATAGTCATACTTCTGTTTCAAGGCTAACAAGTAACAGCACCCCACGGAGGGGTTTAGAACCCAAACTAGTCACAACTAAAGGTGAGGAAGAAAGCCAGTAATATAAGCCAGATCTAATTTTTTTTTCATTTGAATACTGGTGAACATTTGACATGGCAAATAACTACATTAGGTACCGAGCAGATATGCATCTCAATTTTATATTAAATACATATGTAACTGTTCATGACAAATGGAATGAAAGGAAGTTGGTGTGCAGACTAATTGAAGAAAGAAGAGTCCGCATGATCTGCATACCACTTTCCTACTACTTATTAAGCTGAATTGTTCATCACTTTCATTTCATGTGTATATTTTACATCATGGGAAATTGGATGTAGGATGGAATCATTTATTTTGGGAAGACTTGGAGCTGCAGGACAATGTTGGCTTTATTCTATTGAATTTTTTTTAAATGCAAAGCCATGAACAATGGTAAAATTTTCAAAAGGGAGTTGGCCCCGTGAAAGCATCACTCATGACTTTTACCTTGCTTTATTTCAAGCTCTTCCATTGCATAACAATCTGAAAAAAAACAACCCACTGAAACTCTTCACCAAGGAATTTCTTCCCCAAGAGAGAAAACTTAGGTTGTCATTGAATGCGATACTTCTCTTTACAAAATTCAAGGTAAAAGTCAGATGATTATGAGAATTGCCAGGTTAAAAAATATATTTTTGTATGAAATTGACGCAGATGTTTTTGAGCTAATTCCTCCCGTTTAAATGTACTACTCCTCGATGAAGTTAGAATATGACAAGGTTTTTAAAGGAATTGAAATATGCTAATGAGAGGAAAATACCTTCATGCTCATCTAAGTGCGGGGAGCCCACACATGATTAAAATTCATTTTTTAACATGATGACTTATGTGTTTAATTGTCTACTTAGAAGCCTGAAAATCGTCAGGTTAGTACAATGTGGTTTCTGGATACATACAGTATTACATAAACCCAAACTTCATTCCATTCGCCCTGGTCTTTGCAGCTAGGAATCTCTTGTTTTCTGCGTCTTAACTCAGGGTCACTGAAGTTATAAGAAAAAGCATCTTAAAAGTGAAAGCCTTCTCTGATCCATCTGTTTTGTGTGTGTGTGTGTGTGTTCTATTGAGCCATGCCTGAACACTTTTGTGTGTGGGACACAGTTCTAGAGCAGGTAGAAGCAGCCCAGCAATAGAACAGAACCGGCTCCTGTTGCAGCCACAGTCACCGGCAATCAGTGCTTCAGAGGCAAAACCATAGTCGTGGCTCCCACGGCCATTCTTTTCTGGACCAAGCAATGTCACTGCATTCACCAGGAGCCCAACTCTGTCAAGAGAATCCCCTTCAGTAGCCATCTACCCTGACCCCCACAGAAGGGCTACACCAACTGTTAGGTTGGTGGTGTAGACTCGACAGAAGACTCTTCTGTCCTTCCTTCTAAGGGCATGCCTTCTAAATAATCTCCTTAGCTGTCAGGGGCTTAAGTGAACCAGGAGAGAAGGGACTTGGACATGGGTGTGGTGGGGGGGGGTGGTAGGGGGGGAGGTTAACCTTACCATCCCAGGCACCGGGAGTTAAGTTGTTTAGGGATAGCCATCATCGAGAACCTCTATCAGTTCACAGGATTAAAAAAAAATATGTCAGGATTGCCCTTCTCAGTTTCCCCAAACATTTATTAATGGATTCATTTCCAGATCTGTCTATTGAGAGCAAAGAGGCACTGGTCAGTTACAGGAAGTGAAGTCCAGACTGAAGACTGGAAGCCGGGAGCCCGACTGGCCAAGTCCGGTTGGGCGCCCTGCTGTCTTGATTCCTAACTGCAATGCGGCCTGCGGGGGACGTGAACCGCCTCGCCCACCCGAGGCCAGGCCCGGAAAACCCGTGGTGTGGACAGTTCAGAACAATCAACTACGTGCACAAGAGCGGTTGATCATGACCTAAAAGTAAAAGTGACAATTTCATCACATAATAACACTGCTGTTTTCCTTTTTTTTTTCATTTTTTGGGGGCGAGGGGAGGATTTGTCCTTTTTTTTTTTGTTTCCTTTTTCATTTCCATGTGGGTTTTTTTTTGTTTTTTGTTTTATTTTTTTGTATGGAGGGGCCGAGGGAGGAGAGAGAGTGTGTCCACTGCAAAGCCGTCGCCCTCAGTGATAGACAGACTAGAAAAAATATCAGCAGCAAGACCGTCTGGAATCGATTGTGTTTGATGTAGCTAGTCTGTCTTTTCTGTTTTGCCCTCTTTCATGGCGGCCTCTGAGCTCTTCCGCAGGGGAGCCTTCTCCGAGGTACCATGTCCTTGGCCGGAATCCGCTGCGCTTCCGTTTTTGTGAGTCGTGTGTTTTTCCAAGTAGTTCAGCATTTCACTGAGGACGGTCTGGAACGTGCTCAGGGCCGCACAGATTGCAGGAGTCCCAAAGCCATGAGTGATCAAACTGCAGGTACAGAAAACCACAAACAAAGCTATGAGTGATCAAACTGCAGGCACGGAAAACCACAAACAAACAAAGCCATGAGTGATCAAACTCCAGGTACAGAAAACCACAAACACACGCAAGAGAAATGGGTGAAAAATACCCCCATTTTATGTATTCTTTTTTTTATTTATTACTATTATTTTTGTTGTTGTTTGTTGTGGGGCTTGAACTCTGGGTCTGGGTGCTGTCCCTCAGCTCTTCAGATCAAGGCAAATGCTCTACCACTTGAGCCACAGCACCACTTCCAGTTTACTTGGAGATAAGAGTCTCACAGACTCTCCTGCCTAGGCTGGCTTTGAACTGACATCCTCAGATCTCAGCCTCCTGAGTAGCTAGGATGACAGGCATGAGCCACCGGCGTCCTGCTAAAATACCCCCATTTTATCTAGTACATTCTTCCTAGCCTTTATAAGGCTCTCCAATGTTTCTGAGCACTGTGGTGGATAGAACGTGGTTCAGGTGTTTTCCCTTCACCTCAGAGATGGGCAGCACAGATGTGGACACATTTTTGCCAAGTGTGTGTATTGAACACAGGACTTGGCCCTGTCTCATTAGAAGCTACTAGAACAGGCCACACACTATGTGTGGGGATCACCCTACCTTCAACGATGTCTCCTGCTGCTAGAGGCATATATCGCGCATGAAGAAGTCATGCTTTGTACGAGTAAAAGGGGGGTTTATGAGCAAAAGAGGGATAGGCAGGGATTCATATAGAGGGGAGAGGAATGGAGGGTATGGGGTGAGCACTACTGAAAGGTCTTATGGGTATGGGAATTGTCACAACAAAATAAGCAACAACAACATATTAAATAGAGCCGAGTGCCAGCGGTTCACGCCTGTAATCCAAGCTACTCCAAAGGCTGAAATCTGAGGATGGAGGTTCAAAGCCAGCCCACACAAGAAAGTTTGTGAGATTCTTTATCTCCAATTAATCATCAGAAAAGGCAGAAGTAGAGCTGTGGCTTAAGTAGTAAGACGCTAGCCTTGAGTGAAAAAGCTCAGGGACAGTGCCCAGGCCCGGAGTTCAAGCTCCAGGACTGGCATACATGCACAAAAACAAATACAAAATGAGAAGAAGCATTACTGTGAACTGAAAACATTCAACACAGCAGTGGAAATACTCAGCAAATTGAGAAGACAGCCTTCCTCACTATAATATTTATAATGTATGTTAATATAATGGGGAAAATATTAGCAAGCTGTGTATCCAATATGGAATTAGTATCCAAACATAACATATCTCAATAGCAACAAACAACCATTCTGGTTTTACAAGAGGCAAAAGATACTAGTAGATACTGTCTCAAAGATAACGTAAAAATGGCCCTAGGGTAAAGGAAAGATGGTAAAACCACTAAGCACGAGGGATAGGTGCATTAAAACCATGCTGAAATATGTTCGGGAAGCTGTTTTAAAAAATAAAAGAGACAATAAATGTGCACGGCGGTGTACATTGTTGTGGAGAATGTAAACCAGGAAATGATGTCAGTATTAAAATTAAGAAAAATTTTTAACAGAAGCCAACTTTGGAAAGATCTGAATGTGGTAGAGACCTTGATTGCTGGGAAAAAGACCAATTTTTATAAAATTTAGGAGACACTAAGGAAACTATGTCCACTTGGATTACAAAAACAAGTCAGTGTCACAGTGTATCACAAGAGAGACCCTATCCTAGAGCAACTCCCAGGACAAAGGACTAAATTAGTAAGTTAAATTTGAAAAAATATCAAAATTCAACACGAGAGGTTTGCATCCAAGATGGCAGCCTTCGAACTCACGACTTCCGTCCCCGGTGGACTGCGTTCCCACTCATTCCCCCTTGGACCTCAGATGGAGGCCAGCACATTGGCTTTCCCTTCCTATTACCAATCGGAGGCACAGAAAGGCTGGGCTAAGCGTCTGTGAGCGGTAGCTGCCCGCTGGGTGGATGCCACCTGATGGAGGGAAAATATAACTTCCACTTAGCAGTCATCTCCCTAAGTTTATTCCTGGTGATAAAGCTCCTCTTTTCATGACATCTCCTAATTAACTTTCCCTCATCCTTCTTGCGGCAGCACAAGCGATTTCCTGGCTCGGCTGGCAGCAGCCAGGGTTGGAGATGAAACTGAATTTCCTCTACTCCCTGAGGATCGAATCACTGCAAGGATTTGCAGTTCAGCCATTGAAAGGCCCCTTCCTTGGAAGAGAGCAGTGTGTGTGTGTGTGTGTGTGTGTGTGTGTGTGTGTGTGTGTGTGTGCAAGCGCACCTGTACGCAGGCACACTGGCGTTTGGGTAAGACCTGACCACTCTGAGGTATGTTTTTCTTTATTACTTATGCCACTTACTTTGAACTTAAAGTTTTAAACTTCAATTTCAACTCACAAAGAAGGTTACTTGGGAGACTGAACTTTCTTTTATCACTCAACTTCACGTTCTCAGTTGGATTTTTTGTGTAATGCTTGTAGTGCTATTACTTGTGCCACACCTCCAGTTCCTGTGGCCTTTTTTTTTTTTAATATCATGGCTTTAAAAAAATATCATGGCTGTTCATGAGCTTTTGGGGTCAAGAGTGGTGCTCTAACATTTGAGACGTGGCTCCACTTCTGGCTTTTCTGGTGATTAATTGGACATAACAGGTTTGTAGGCTTTCCTGCCCGGCTGGGTGGAGCTGTGATTCTCAGATCTTGGCTCCCTGAGTAGCTAGGATTCTAGGGGTGAGCCACTGTGTCTACTCCAACATTCTTCAACAACATAGAATTAGAACTCCCTTTGAACTAGAAGATCACCCTGATGGAATCTTATTGTGAATTAAATTATTATTAATAATTTAACGATTAGATTATTAGAATAACTATTTCTGAAAGGATACCATGCGTTGATACTTTCTGTTCTTTTCTTATCAGATCAGAGCTAGTTAGGTTCACTACCACTTATGCTGCGTGCCAGCGGCTCACACCTCTAATCCCAGCTACCTGGGAGATGGAAGAAGGAGGATCTGGGGAGAAAAGTTTGTGAGACCCCTTCTGACACTAGCTGGGCACAGTGGCCCATGCCTGTCACCCTCAACTACGTAGGAGCCCGAGGTCCAGAGGACCGCGCCTCCAGTCCAACCTGCGCAGAGAAGTCCTCAAAACGTCCCCTCCGTGGAGCCCGCAGCGGCGATTCCAGCAACCCACGGGAAGTCTAAAGATCACAGTTCCGCCGCGTGTCTGGGTGGAAAGTAAGAGCTGATGCTAAAAACAACCAGCAAAAGCAACAATAGGGCTGGAGGCACGGCTCAGTGACAGAGTGCCGGCTGAGTGGACGCGACCCCCTGAGCTCCAGCCCCAGAGCACGAATGCTCTGACAAGATCAACAAAACAGAGAATATCAACATTTCACCAGATTCAAAGCACAAGCCGCCGCCGCCGTTTCCAGCTGCTCTCCAAGCTGGACCAGGCATGAAGCACGCGAGCCTCCAGCTCCTCAGAGAAGGCTAGCTCCCCGGCCCCCACACCAAAGCCAAGGCAAGGGTCCTCTCTTCAGTGTGGGCCAGACTTGACTGAAACCAAAGGAAATAGGCCAGGAGGAGAAAACTCAGGAACAGGAGAGCTGCGCTGAGAAGCTGGGAGGGAAGCAGAACTCCTGGGCGCTTGGAGAGCGCAGCAGAGAGATGCAGAGTGTTCTGGAGGAGAGGAAGGCACGCCTGATGGCTGGCAGAGACGGAGGAGCAGACTGTCCCCGGAAGACATCAAGCCTGCATCGGGATCACTTGACAGAGATATGGGAGAGAAGAGCTGAAGGCCAAGGAGAGTCAGCTATGCAAGAGGACTTCCACACTGAGAACCAACAAAGAGAATGTAATCGCAGGCAAACAATGCCTGTGTATTCCCTACTTTGAAGACATGGAACAATCCCGGGGAGTTCAGCTCTACAGCATCAGTTATCTCTTGGCTTAAACGGGAGAACTAAGTGCATTGATCATCTCTCTTCACCAGGCCAAAGCCCGATGAGCACCGACACATCATGGCCTTAAGAATGAGGCAGTAGAGAAACTATCTAAGACGTGATTGATGTAGTATCATAATCTATATTTATTGACATAGATCTATCAGACATAAGTGCAAGGTGTGCTACGGCCTGTGCAGAGAGACAGGAGAGATTTTCTTTCTTTTTGTCTGTTGTGGTGCTTGAACTCAGGGCCTCGGCGCTCAAGCTAGTACTCTACCACTTAGCTGCAGCTCCACTGTTGGTTTTTCTAGTGGATAATTAGAGATAAGGGTTTCACAGACTTCCCTGTTTGGGATGGCTTTGAACTATGATCTTCAGAGCTCAGCCTCCTGAGTAACCAGGATTACAGGCATGAGCCCCCGGCACTGGTGAAAGATTAACTTGATTGCTACAAATAATCAGTCATTGTGCTTAAACCTTTTTTGTAGAAAAATTTCCATATGTTCTCTCTCTGTCTCCCTGTCTGTCTCTGTCTCTCTGTCTCTGTCTCTCTGTCTCTGTCTCTGTCTCTCTCTCTCTCTCTCTCTCTCACACACACACACACACACACACACACACATTACTAGAGATGGAGTCCAGGGTCTCCTGCTTACTAGACAAGCCGTCTACCATGTGGTCGACACAACCAGTCCTTTTGCTCCTGTTTTATTTTTGAGACAGGCTTTGAATTTGGGGTTCTCCTACCTCCCTCTCCCAAATAGCTGAGATTACAGGCATGTAGCCCTGTGCCTTTGTGTCTTTCTATGTCATTATTTCCAATTAAAGAAGTCTCTAAACCATGGGAGAATCTCTCAGTCATCCTGTTGCTCCCTACCTTTAATGCATTAAAAGACAAGAAACAATATGTCAGTTTCCCAGAGGTGCGGAGGGCAGGTGCAGATTATACACTGAAAAAACAGATCTTGACTTTCTGATAGGCTGTCCTTTCTGAACTGAGCAGTAACTCATCTAACTCCTCTTTGTTGACATTGTCGTAGAGGCTTTTGCT